GCACCACCAAAGAAAGGAGCCCAGAGTGGGTGGGTTTGTCCCCTCCCAAAACTGGAATGGATTTTCACTTTGAGCTCATCCCCATCCGTTAGTTCCCATGAGCTCCAAGGAGCTGTGGTGCTGCCCCTGTGCCCATCACCCCTGGGAGCCCAGTGAGGAAGAGGTGACTGGAGCTCTGGTCCCCGTGGCTGAGAGCTGTGCCCGCAGCTCCCCTCTGCCTCCAGTAATGCCTGGCTGCCGGGTTTTTTACTCTCCGAGCCGTGTGAGTGTGTGTGTCTGCTGAAGTCTAAATTAAAAAGGAAAAAAAAAAATATTTAAACATTTTTTAACAAAATAAGAATTTATTTTTATATTTAAGCTAAATTGCCTTTGAATTCCTTCAAGCTTGGTTCAGTGAGGTTGCTGAGCGCAGCGCTGTTGGTCGTTCCCCGTTCTGTCGCGCCGCGGGGCAGTGGCTGTGCTGTGGGACAGGGCTGCGCTGGGGAAAGGCAGCTGTGTCCCAGGGCAGGAGCCATCTGCTCCCCCCAGGCTGTAACAATATGTCCTTGTTTCTCAAATGTGATGTACGTGGATGTGAATAAACCTTTTTTTTAATTCCCCTGAAGCTGAGGAGCAGGAGCTTTTGCAGGGCTGGGAACAGATGAGGGGTATGGGGCAACCCCCCAGCTGGGGGAGGAGGGCTGGGGGGCGCAGCTGCAGGCTGCCACTTCTCCTGGGAGCGCTCCCAGCTGCTGTAGTTGGTGCGGGCTGTCCTTACCTCTGCAAGACAGAGAGCTGAGGGCATGTAGGAGCCTACTGCAGGGTGGCCCCCAGCATGGCCAAGGATGCTTCAATGCTGAAGGAGCCAAGCTGGCTGCACGTGCCCTTAGGGGTGCAGAGAGGTGCTTAGAGGAGCTGGTGCTGGCAATTCCTCCCTCCAGAACCACAGTTGTGGTGTTAAGGGATGAGTGAAGACACAGAGGGAGCTGGGCCCAGGGCTGGTAGGCTGCTTGGTCACACAGGGCAGGGGCTGCCCCTTCTCAACCTCCCTCATTGGGGCTCCAGCCACCACCTGTGTGCAGAGAGGGCTGACAAGCAGGAGCCAAGGTGAGAGCACCCTTGGGACACGTTGCCTGCCTCCAGAGAGAGCAGAGCTCCAGCACAGCCCCAGCTTTTGGCAGGGCCAGGCCTGAGGAAAGCTCCCCTCTCCCTGGGCTGCAGCATGGGGATGGCTAGGCTGGGTTCTTACTGAGAACTGGAGGCTTGGACCATTCCTGGTGTGGCTGGTAAGGATTTAGAGTGAACATGCAGTGTTTTTTTCCTTGCTTCTTATGTCACCAATTTAAAATAAAAAGACTTTCTTGTCTGGCTTGCTTTTGTGTGAGGGCTGAACTGCACTCAAGATACTGTTTTTCAGCTCCCTCTGCTTTGTGCACTCCCTCCTCATTCAGGCAGGATGCTGCAGGGGCAAGGCAGCATTCACCTCCCCTCCCACCTCGCCTGGGTCTTGGGATGGCTGTCACACAGCTGCCAGCCTGAAGGCCACAGAGGGGCAGGTCTGGGCAGGGTGCACTGCACTCACATAGAGAAGTCCCCCAAAGGATGACTAATCGCCTATAAAGGAAGGGCTTATCACTGTAAGGCAAAAGCCGTTTCTGAAACCCCAGATAAGGGTTAGGTATGGAGTTCTAGGGGCCTATAAAGTACTATACTGCCATTACTCCAGCTGGAGGAATCCAACTCCAGAGGATAAGGAAACTGCTGTTGTTTGATTTGTTTTCCTACAGCTGCCCAGCTTTGGGGGCACCTATACATGTGCAGGAGCAATTTCCACTCCTTTGCCTGTGCGTGCATCAGGGAGCATCAGCCCTACTGAGGCCTGGGTCAGGAACTTACAGAAGCTCACCAAGCCAGCAGCTGGTGAAAAGCTTTATTTCTGTTACTCAGTGCAAGGGCCACAGCACAGACCAGCTCCAGAGACCAGCACTGCATGCTCCTAGAATTATTTCACACGTTGCTTTTTCCTCCTCCTCTTCTTGGGAGGAGCTGCTCCTGGCTCTACTCCCTCTTCTTGCTGTAGGCTCTCTTCAGTGGCTGCAGGCAGGGAGCTGCACACAAGAGCAATGACAGTTGAGTGGTTCATCCCACCTGCAACACCGCAGCCCTCTCAGCAAGAAGACAATGCATTCCAGGCAGTCAGGCAGCCCTGGGCCCACTTCTCCCCCCCGTTTCCTGCACCTGGGGACAGCAGATTCCTCCCCACGGCGCTCCAGGACAGCCACAAAGAAGCCCTGTGTGAGCGTATCTGCAGGAGAGGCGCGGAGGCAGCACTCAGCCCCTGGGAAGGTAGCAAGTCCTCGACAGGGCCAGGATGGGAAAGCATCCACTAGCCTGCAGAGGGGACAAGGGACAGCGCTGAGTCCAGCAGCAACACACAGAGCTACCAAAGGTAACAGACTCCCCACGGCCTGTTCCTCCCCGGAAAGGAGCACCTGAAGGCCGATCCCTGCTCCTGCAGCACTGCGTGCACCACGTCCTCGTTCTCCTCTCGGTGCACTGAACAGGTAGAGTAGACCAGACGCTGCACCGCCGGGAAGCGCAGCGCGTGGCTCAGGACCCTGCGCTGGAAGCCAGCCAGCGCCTGCAGCCGCTCTGCACTCGGGGCAGCTTCCTCCAGTGGCAGCCGGGCCACCATCCCTGCAGGGACAGCAGCCGTTGCCTGTGGGTCTGCCCACGGAAAACCCAGCTGAAGCCTCTAACAGACGAAATGGCTGAAGTCCCCACGTTACCCGAGCCGCTGCATGACGGGTCCAGGAGGATGTATTTTACTTTGCTGTATTTGGGATCGTGGGGATCAACTGTCAGGAAGTCCTGCTGAGCCAGCTTGAAGCTGGTGACCCCTGCCCGCATCAGCATGGTGTTCATGGTAGCCAGGCGCTTGGTGTCCACATCAAAGGCAAAGATATGCCTGAAAAAGAACCCAAGGGGTGTGAACACCCAGGCCAGCCCAAAGGCCGTGCTGTGTAAGCTGCTCGGATGCATCCACAGCCTCAACATGCATCTGCAGCTCCTTCCACATCAGCCCTGCAACCTTCTCCTCAGAACTGGGCCACCCAGTCTGTTCTGGCCCTGCCACAGCCTTGCACTCACCCCTTGTTCTTCAGGATGGCAGCCAGGTGGCTGGTTTTGTTCCCAGGGGCAGCACAGGCATCGATCACATGGGAGCCAGCAGAAGGGCTAAGCAGGAAGGCTGGCAAGCAGCTGGCCTGCAGGAGGACAGGGCACAAAGAAAGGTGTGGGCTGCCAGCAGTTTCTGCAGTAGCCACTCCCGCATCCTCCTTGGGACACAGCAGTTGCTGTGGAGTCGCATGCTTGCACACCACCCAAACCCAGCTCTGGGTCTGGAGGCCTCTTCCTAAATGGTGGGAGCAACATCGCATGACCACAGCCCAGCTCCCTATGGGGAACTCCTACAGTGCATGCTAGAGCCACTTACCCCCTACCCACGGGCTATGAAAGCAGAGCTGAGGGGGATCCCCACAGCCTCAGCCTGTGCTCATAGCTTCTGCTTAAGCTGCTTAAGCTAAACGCTGCAGCAAAGCAGCTCCAAGCCCAGTCTCAGCATGTAGGAAAAGGCTGAGCCCCCGCTCCTGCCAGAGGTCTTTACCCCTGTGCCGCAGCCTCCTGTTCCCCAGCTCCCAACCTTGTCCTGCAGAATGATGTGTCCTGACATATAGAGCCGGTTGTCATGGAAGTCCGTCTGCGGAGGGAAAACGAGCAGCTCCGGGAGGTGAAGATCCAACAAGAATTTCTTCCCAGAAAGGATTTTCAGCTCTTCCACGCTGCCCATACAGACAGAGGATGAGCACAGCTCAGCCTTATCACGTTCAGCACCAGAGCCCTCCTCCAGAGCCCAGATGCAGAAATCCCTACACCCCACTCCTCTGCCCAACGTCATTACCAGGCAGCACCCAGAAATAGAAGGTAGGAGCACACCAGTGGACACCTCAACCACCAGCACCACCTCTCTACCACTCACCCACCGCACCCCACAGGGGGTCACTGCCCACCCACCCACGCTGCACAAAGAACCCAAACAGCACCAGGCCCAGCCCACCTGCTCGCCCTGCCCAGGAAGGAGTAGCCCTGGCGCTTGAAGAATTCCACCACATCATCCACGCACGTTTTCAGCACGTTCACCCGGACGTAACGTGGCACCTGAGGGGCTGCAGGGTGCGGGGTCAGCCCCGGCCCCGCCGCGGTGGGCAGCGCCCGGCCCGCACCCGCTCACCTTCCGGCCCGGCTCCCGGCGCCGGTTCCAGGAGATCCTCGTTGCGGCTCACCCCGCGCCGCACCTTTAGCCGGGCCAGCTCGGCCTCCAGCCGCGCGCGGTGCCGCCGGGCCAACGCCTTCCAGCGGCCACCGCACTTGAGGCCCTTGCCGAAGAGCAGGTCGTACACCAGCACCTAGGGCAGGCGGTGAGCACCCGCTGCCGGGGAGAGCCGCAGCCCCCAGCCCGGCTCCGGAGCCCAGCACGGCCCGGCCCTCACCTTGGCCAGCAGCGGCGGCAGTTTCTTCTCGACGCGCAGCAGCGCGGCTCCGTCCAGCAGCGCCTCCAGCACCGGGCCGTAGCGCAGCGTCTCGGCCACCAGCGCGTACAGCTGCCGGGCGTGCTGCGGGGCGGTGGCACCGGGCGTTCAGCGCCGCCGCTCCGGACCCTTCCCCAACCACCCGCCCTCAACCCCGGCCCCGCTGCGCACCGGGAAGTCGCTGCCGTACACCAGGCTCTTGAGGCCTCCCTCGCCACGCTCCAGCCCGCCCAGCACAGCAGCGGCCGCGCTGTACAGCGCCATTGCGGCGGCCGAGTCGCCCCACGTGCGCCGGATAATACGTCACTTCCGCCTCAAGCCACGCCCTTCCCGCAACATCGAGTCCGCCTCCGTGACCCCGCCCCCTTTCCGCCGCGGCCCCGCCCCCTTTCCGCCGCGGCCCCGCCCCCCGCCCGCTCGCAGCAGCTCGGCTCGGGCAGCACAGCGGCAGCTTTATTCAGGACGGCGCCGCGGGGCCGCGCCCTACGGCTTGGGGGGCTCCTCCGCCGCGGGGGGGCCCTGGGTGTGCCGGCCGGCAGCGGGAGGGGGCAGGATGATGGGAGGGGAGAAGGGCCCTCGCTCCGGCCAGCACAGGTCCACGATGGGGTAGAGCTGGCCCTGGAACTCCGCCTGGAAGGTGTAGATGGGGCTGAGCTCGTCGGGGCTGTCGGCGTTGTAGAAGGTCAGCTCGCCCTTCTCGTAGTGCAGGTAGATCCCGATGCGCTGCGGCCGGGCGGTCAGCGGCAGCGTGGCCCGCGGGGTGCTGAAGGCCTCGTAGACTTTCCCTTCCTTGAGGCCGATGAGCCACACGCCGTTCTCGGGAGACTTGCTGAGCTTCCCTTTGCGGCTGACCGTGCCCTTGATGATGCCCACGCGCCAGTGGTTCCTGGTGCCCACAATCACCTCCCAGTAGTGCTGGCCGCAGGAGAAGCCCTTGCAGGTGAGGATGCAGTTGCTGGAGTCAAAACGTTTGGGGTTGCTGTCCCGGCGCTGGTACAGCCCGCACTGCACCACCGTGTCACCCTTGAAGAGTTCCAGCAGGGGATGTGCCGTCACCGGGTCCAGTTTCAGCATCTCTGGAGCTAAAAGGAAAGCAGGCAGACTCCAGGCATGCTGCTGGGAGTGCTGCTGAACCCGAGCGGACTGCTCAGACACCAGAGCAGGCGCTACCAGCATGAGATGCTGAACCAGCCAGTGCTCCTGGAGCTCTGCTGCAGGTGAGCAGAGCAAGGCAGAGGCCAGGACGTGGGACGCTGGCTGGGCAGTCTGTCCTGGCAGCACAGCCAGAGCTGCCCATGCGATGCCGGCTGGGGAAGCTGGTACCTGGCAGGACGTGGCGGTGCAGCCGCTTCCACACGGTCATCTTGATGTCATCTTGGTGGAAACAAGGCTTGAATGATACGGGACTGAAGATGGCATCACCTGGGTGTAGGCTAGGAAGCTCTGACCTGAAAAGACAAGTGCAGCCATGACAGAGGTTGATGGGAACAGCATGTGTTCTTTTCTCACCTTCTGCTGCGTATGATGGAGCCACTAGTGTCTCTGCAGCTGCTTTTGCCCTGTTCTGGGGCTGCCTACATGGCTCTGGCTGTGGCTCTCCATCACAACAGCAATGTCCACAGAAGTGAGCACGGCAGGCTGCCCCCGCAATGCTGAGGTGCTCGCTGACCTATCTGCTGCCATTCCCTTTGGTGCTGCATGCTGCTGGGTCCCATCACTCACCTGAACTGGTAGGAGCTGTATTTCTGGAAAACAAAGAGAAAAAGTTAGTCAGTGGTGATAGACTGACACAACAGCAGCTCCTCTGCATGGTCACAGCTCCACACATCCATGTCCTGGGTCAGAGAGGCCAAGGCTCTCCTCTCCTGGGAGATGAATTCTGATGGACAGCTCTCTGCCATCTGGGGAAGCCCGTGCTGGACAGAAGGCACCTCCATCTCACACCTCATGGTGTGCTAGCTATGTTTGGTGAGGGTTCTCGCTGCCCAAGGAAAGGCCCAGGGCTATGAGCAGTGGCTGATGGTGGGAGAGCCTGGCTGAGCCTTGCCGCCTTCCTGAGGCAGTCGCTGGTGGGCACACTCACACGGATGAAATCAAGCTGACTTTCGTTGCTGAGTGTCTCCAGAATGCTCTGCATCTCCTTCAGCCTCTCCAGGGTGTCTGATGTCTGCTTGACCTGAGACTCAATGGAGGCGATGAGCTGGGCTGCCTTCCCCTCCACACTCTCCAGGAAGGTGGCCTTCTCCTCATCGATGTACCTGTGCAGCTCCTCAAACTCCTTCTGGATCACCCACTTGAAGACATCTGCCTCATTCTGCAGGGAGACAGCAAGCGGCTCTGCAGCACTGCCTTCCTACATTTCCTGCACCCACTTTCCAGTTTCAGAGATGCCAGCAGCAACTTCTATGTGTCCCAGCATGCTGCCCTGCATTTGTCTTCCAAATAAAGAGCAGCTCTTCACAGAGGCTGGATGTTATTTCACCCGGCTGCCCTCAGCACCGTGGCACCCCTGCCACATACCTCTCTCCACCCAGATTTTGTCTTGATGTCCCAACTAGCTTGATCAGAGCCTTGAAAGAGCTTTTGGATTCCTCTGCTACCAGGGAACAACCTGGGTCCTGCACTGAGTTGGGGGAATTCAAGCTCCAGTTTCATTTGGCTTCTAAGGAGCCAAGTTCAGAAGCTCAAGCCTCAAAAAGTGATACTGAGAGATTCCTTTGAGATGTCTACTGCATGGAAAATGGGTACACAGCCAAATGAAACGTAAATTCATTGTGAAATTCTCAGCATTCTGACAGGGAAGCCTGCTCTGAGCAGGGTGTTCTTCATGTGTTATCTCCAAGGGTAGGTGGGCAAAAATCTCCTGCCAGGACACTCAGTGAGGTTATGTCTCCCCTGCAGAAAACCTCTCTGGCTTTGCCACCTGAGAGGGCTCTGTCACCTATCCTGAAAACAGGGCTATTTTAATCCCCAGTATTCCTGGAGAACAGGAATCTCGGTAGGAACAGCCCTGCCTACTGTCTAGGGAAGGGAGAAAAGGGAGAGGAATGGAGGAAGTGAGCTGAGGAGACCCAGGAGCAGAAATTGCTCTGATGGTTGTGTGGGAGGCAAAGAGCTCTGGGAAGCCGGCTCCTTTGGCACTCACCGCAATGCGGATCTTGTTGTTGATGAGCTTGCTGAACTGTTCATCCAGGTTCCTCTTGCACCGGTGGACATCGGTTAGCAGCACAGACAGCTCCTCCTAGAAACACAACAGCTGTCTTGAGGAACCTTGTGGCATCCTGCTTGATTGCAGGCTCTGCCCCTGTGCCTGCCGGCCCCCCAGGGAGCCCCGAGAAGCCATGCCCTCCCAAGCTTCCTCTAAGTTCTATGGGGTTCTGCACATCCTGCCGATCTTTGGTCTGACCTAGAGGATTTGGGGGTGCCAGAGACAGAAGAGCACTCAGAGCACAGCCCTGAGCTGGGTGCTGCTGGCCAAGTACTCTTGCCAGGAGCACTGCAGCTCCACTCCACATCTGGCACCCCATGAAGACAACGCTCCAGGTGAGCAGTTGCAGCCAGCATCAAGTCTGCAACGCTGTGTCAGTGCTGGTCCTGGAGCCTGGCTCAGGCAGTCACGTTCCTGGTGCCTCCTGCTCTTATCGCCTTGGTGTCGGGAGCTGAGGGGAACGGTGGCCCTGTGCCTTTCCACTCCTTGGGCTTTCATGTGATGTTGGGCAGGGGACACCAGCTGTTTACTCTGCCAGGCTGGTGCTCCTGTTTTCCTCCCTCCCTGCTCTCCTTTGGCACCTTGCCTCAGCCCTTATCTCCAGACTCCCTTTGATGGTATATGTAAACAATCTTAAAAGGCCTCTATGACTCACCCTGATCCTCAGCTCCCCTCCACTGTGGTTCAGCCACCAAAAACATGTCTCCTCAGCCAGGGACATGCTTGGCTTGAGAAATGGCTGGCCCCAGCCCAAGGTCCCTGCCCCACATCTGCTTGTGCTATGGGGCCGTGCTGCCCACACTGGCACCATTTTCAGCCTCTTTACTGAAGGACAAGAGATGCTAATACTGCCATACTCGGGGCTGAGACTGCTACAGATGTCCTAATCCTCACCCCAGGGAGCCCTCGCCACCCCTGCCTGCCAACCTTCATCCGACAGTATGCGGTAGAGATAGGGGTGATCTTGTGCTGCTTGTGGTTGCCAATGGTGCCGCACAGCCCACAGATCACCTCTCGGTCAGCCTCGCAGAAGAGGCTCAGTGGATTGTGGTGCATTGGGCAGGACTCTGGGGTGGGCTCTGTCTCGCCCCTGCTCTGCAGTGCCTCAATGATGCGGGCCAGCGTGACATTGGGTGGGGAAGCGCTGCAGTCCACGGATTTGCGGCACACAGGGCACAAGAACTGCTCATCCAGCTCTCCAGACAGTGACAGCACACAGGACTTGCAGTAGGAATGCCCACACTGCAGCATCAGGGGCTCCTTGAAGACCTCCAAACAGATGGGGCAGAGCAGCTGGTCCTCCAGATTATCAATGCTCATCTTCCGAGCCATGCTGCCACCTTCCAGCAGCCCTAATGCAAAGAGCAAGGCAAACACAGATGAGCAAAAACAGAGCTCGGCACTTGAAGAAGTGAAGAGATGCCTCAAACACCTTTGTGTCCCATCAGCACTTCAGACAGTTGTGAGCTTGTCATTAGACTCCACAAATAGCGTGAGATGCTCGTTTAAATCTGCAGTGTTCTGACAACAGGAGACTGCACATGGTCAGGCCTTCTGGCTCTGCCTGCAGTGGCAGAAGGCACCACCGAGCTGATCCTCATCCAGAACCTTTCCTTCCCTGGCAGCTGAGTCAGCCTGTAGCTCCCTCCAAGGGAGACCTGCCTGCATGCCAGGACTTGGCAAGGCTGGAGACAGAGCCAAGAAGGATCTTTGCTGAGAAGTTCTAGCACTGACTCTGGCCTGTATGAACTTCTACAGATCTCCTTGGTTCATTGTCTCAGCCCCTGCATGTCCTCAGGACTGGCATTAGATCAAGTGATGCATCTGAGCAAAAGCAGAATGAAATCACAAACAGCATTTTTATGTTCAAGACAGAGAGAAACCACATAATACAACTTGCAAAGTTAATTTTGACTGATATGAGGGTTGGGAGTTCGAGCCACAGTGTGTAGGGCTGTGACTTCAGCTTACCCCCTTGAAACAATGTGGTTTCTGACCACCAGTGTTCCACACTTGGCCCGCAGCCACAAAAGACACAAGTCAAAATCTCTGCATCTCCCACCAGCCTTACAGCCACACGTGGCCATTCTATTTAAGAACTGTGTGGTTCATGCAACATTGATTTCCACACAGCATTGGTGGGACATAGCCACCAAGATCTAGAGTCCCATGGGCTCTGCTGCAGTCGGACAGGTCGGGCATCGCCAGGCAGACAAGCCTGGGTGGCCCAGCCCTGGAGGTGACCCTGCTCTAACTGTGACAGCATGACAGAGTGTGCATGCCTGCTCCTGAACAGAGGCTGGCAGAGAGCACACATCAGAGCCTTTGTGGTCTCCCTGCTCACATGGAAATAAATCTGAAGTCAAAGACTTGGTAGTTTCCCCAGGGAAAGGGGAGGCTGTGACCTGAGCTCAGCTTTTATCAGGCATTGCTTATAGGAGCTCAGCAGGGAATCAAGAAAAACGCCATTGTCAGCCCACGAATGGTCAGCCACCCACACGAGACCAGCTTCAGCTGCTCCCACTGCTCTCAAGGAAACCCCGTTAGGTCCGACTCGCCACCACTCACCTGCCCTGTGCCGCCTCCTCTCTGCCCTGGCTCGGCTCTTCCTGGTGCACCACACCTGATGGATGTCCCTCAGCTTCTCCTGACTGAGCTGAAGAGTTCAGCTCCGTCACAAGGGCAGACGTGGCAAGCAGTGGGTCAGTGGCCCCTCGGTGTGACAAGGCGCAGTGCTGGCCACCTGGTGACTGCTCCACTGCGTCTTCAACCCTGCAGAGGCTGCTCCAGGGTCATCGGCAGTGTGCGCAGCAGTGAGGCCGTGAGTCCTCCTCTCCTGGGCTGTGACGATGGAACCACACCTCCTCCTGGCCCCCCAAAGGCTGACCAGCGCTCTGTGCACCAGTACAAACACACATCATATGACTACAGAACCTTGATAAGAGATGAAGGTGTTTGCCTGGCTGAGGGGTGGTTTCGACGAGTCCCACTCTGGTTTCAGTCATCCACACCACTTGGATCAACAGAAACATTTGCACTAGAATGCTTTGTTATCAACTGAAACTCTTCTTTGGTTGAAAGAGTGTTGGTTTTTTTGTTTGTTTGTTTGTTTTTGACTGGCTGGTTGGCGGGAACTACTTCACTGTTTTGGAGAAGACAGAAGACCCATAGTAATAAAATCAAAAAATAATAGGAGTTGGAAGGGACCTTTGGAGCTCTCACAATCCCCTGCTTTAGCAGTCCTCTGCAGTATGCTGCACATGACAGTGTCCAGACAGTCTTGAATATCTCCAGAGGAAACTCCCGCAACTCTAAGCAGCCTGTTCCAGGGCTCTGGCACCCACATAGGAAAGAAGTTCTTCCTCATATTTGCATGGATGTTGCAGATTTTCACTGTTGCTCCTTGTTCTGTTGCTGCACACCACAGAAGAGGAGCCCGGCCCCATCCACTCAACTCCCACACTTGAAGCATTTACAAACAGTGATGAGATTTCCCCCCCCCCCCCTCCCCCCCAGCCTTCTTCAGGCGAGCAGCCCCAGGGCTCTCAGCTTTTCTTCATACGGGAGACGCTCCATCCCTAAGAGCCCCGAAGCATTACTGCCCCCATCTGAGGCACGGCAGCGCTCAGCTCCTGGGGCCGCACGGACGCTTTCCCCAGCGGGCAGCACACGAGGAGGCCACGGCACTCCCTGAGCTCCATCCCCAGAACACCAATGAGGAGAGGCGGGCCCGAGCCCGGAGGGGGCCCTCAGCAGCCACACGCGGCGGAGGACTCGGAGCTCTCTGCAGGCAGCGGGGCCGGCGGTGGGGCACGGACCGTGAGCTCCGCGACCCGAGCGCGGCCCCGGCGGGACTCCATTCCCCAGAATGCACCGCGAACCTCGCGCCGCTCCCGCTCCCGCCTCCCATTGGCCAGGAGCCGCGCAGAGGCGCGCTCTCCCTCCCGAGGCGCCGGCGCGTGGCTTTTTAGCGGCGAGGCGGAAAGCGGGCGCTCCTCGGAGCGCGATTGGCCGAGGCTGCGGCGCGGCGCGGGCGGTGATTGGCGCGGAGCTGAGGGGCGGGACCGGGCGCGAGGCGCGGCGGGCGATGGAGGCGGGCGGCGAGGCGCGGGACGGGAGCGGGGTCTCGCTCTCCTTTCGTTTCCGCTGTGCGCTGCGAGCCCGCGGCCTGCAGGACATCAGCGGCGACGGCGGGGTGCTCAAGGAGCTGCTGCGGCCCGGCACCGGGCAACCCGTGCCGCCGGCTGCCACCGTGGCGGGTACGGTCCTGGTCGGACCGGGCGTGGCGGTGCGGTGCGGTGCCCCGCGGGGCTCCTCGCTCCGTCTGGCCCTGCGATAGCACAGGAACGAGCAGCCGAGCCCTCGGAGGCTGCCGGTGCCGTTGTCCACCTCTCCGTAGGGCCTCGTGTTGGCTGGGCCGCCTGGCCAGGCCCGGGAGCCCGTTGTGCAGCGCCCTGTTGGCATCAGATCGGACGAACTTCCAGATGCTGTCAGCATACAGCAGTGAGGCTTTCTGCTTCGGGGCTGTGCTGTGCCTTATTGGTTTCTGCAGTGCGTGGGGCAGCCTCTGCCACTTCTCGCAGCTGACAGATTAAACGGAAGGGCGTCTTGACCTGGAGCGGAGCGGGGCTTCCGGGACCCAGCCGTGTTCACAGTACAAAGAAGTTTAAGTTGGAAGCGGTTCCTGTGCAAGGGCCTGATGAGTGTCAGGGGAAGCTCGTTATGGTTTTTCTCCTAAATGAATGACAACTGGAGTTGGCCCTGCAGCACTCAGGCAATAGCGGAGCTCGAGGCCTACATTTTCTCCTTTGTTTTTTTTTTCCTAGAGCTCAAGCTGTGCTTTGAGAATAAATTTGTTAAGTCCTTCTGCAGATAACTGGGGCATTTTAATTTCTGTGGCTTAAGTTCCCATTCTCCTCCTGCCTGCAGCTCACTAGTTCTTGACACAAAATTGCATCTCTTGTTTAGATAAGAATAAAGGCTTCCAAGCAGCTGTTTTATCTGGTGCTGATGTGACCAGGTTTTTGTTAGCGGTTTGTGCTCCCTCTGCTGTTTTATTTAAAGCATCAGGAAAGAAAAAAGAAAGCATGGTTGCAAAACTGACTGTGAGAGTGCTAGTGACAGCATTGTTACCAGACACAATAACTAAATCTTGCTGTTCTCTCCTACCTGCTCCTTGTTCTGGGTCGTGCAGTGAAGTACTCTGGGTATCTGGAGCATATGGATAAGCCCTTCTGCACAAACTGCACCAAGAAGCTCCCGAGGCTGATGAAGCTTGGAGAAGGTAGGTTTGTCCTGGATCTCTCAGGGCTATAATGAGTATCTGTTAAGGCATGTGAATTTAAATGCTGTTTGGTATCTTGAGGATTTTCTTGAAATCTCTTAAGCTTCTGAATGGAATCAGAAAGCCTCCTCCTTGTAGATGGAGGTCAATCCAGAACTGATCACACAACGTGTTGGCAATGAGCAGCAGGGCCCATGCTGTTGGTGGCAGTGTGGGTGCTTTCTGCTGCTGTCCTGAAGCAGTTTCTCACCTCAGTGTTATTAAATCACCCAAGGGGAGTGATTTAACAACAAGAGGAGATGAGGATGTTTGCTGTGTGCTTGTCCCACAGCAGATTGCCTCGTTAATCCAGAGATGAGTTGTGCAGCAGTGTGTGCCTTGAGTTGTAACAGTGGGGAAACTCACCGCTGTATTGATCTGCTACCTGGGATTTCCTCTTAAAGCCTAGAGGAAAATTCTAATTTGGAGCCGGAGATTGGATGCTGGGTTTGGGATTCTCCTGACCTTCTGTTTCTTGTTGTGACAGACATTACGCTGGGGGGTCTGGAAATTGGTGTGCTCACGATGAAGAAGGGAGAGGTGGCAAGGTTTATCTTCGCACCAAACTATGCCTACGGCCAGCAGGGTTGCCTTCCTCTGATCCCCCCAAATGCCACGGTCTTATTTGAAGTGGAACTGATAGACTTCCTAGACTCTGCTGACTCCGACACGTTCTTTGCGTTGACAGCTGTGAGTTGCTTTAATAAGGCTTGGGGAAAAAACCTGGAAGATAAACTTTGCTGTCTTTCCCTTCAGTTGCTGAGGATCATGTGTTACATATGTTTGTTTAATGCAGGAACAGTTATCCAGACCTTGGGCTGCTGGATCCGTGCAGATGCAGGCATGTGCCCTTTAAAGCTTATCCTGCACGCCTTGCCCTGTTTACAACCCAGTGCAGGGCGAGGAGCTGGGTGCTGTCTTTGTTTGCTGCACCGTAGTGAAGTCAGTGAAACAAGTTGCATTTATTTTTAGCTTTACCAGAAACCTTAGGGTTTCACTAGAGGGCATCAGCTTCCTGGAAGTTCTCCACAGTGTCAGAACAGTACCTAGCTGTCTGTTTAAAAACAAAGTCCTTGTGAAGTCTGGAGCATTAAAGTGTCCCCCGCCCCCCACCCTTTGTCTTTGCTTCTTGGCTGCTTTCCCAAGTGCTCCTTCACTGCCCTCCCTCCTCCCTGGTGAGTTACCGTGTTATTGTTAATTCTCCCTTTTCATGTAAGAGGCTTTGGGTTGTAGTTGTGGGTCAGTGACTGGGGCACATGCTGCAATGCTGATGGATGGAGGCCCTCCTCATTCCCTCACTGCCCTTGCAGACGCTGCTTTTTCCACACCCAGGCCTGAGATCAAACCATCTGTTGCATGGGGGAGAGCTTACGCCCTAATTTGCTAACTCACCCTTTCTGGGAGCTGATTCAAACTTCAATATGCAGGGGACAATCTGCCCCTTTTTTGTTGCTCTTCTTTTTTTCTTTTTCTTTTTTGCTCCTTCTTTGCTGCATTGATGTCCTGAGCTCTGTCAGGCTGGTCATGGAGCCACCCAGGGTGCTGTTACAGCAATTCAGCTTTCCCTGTTGTGCCAGGAATATGTTTTTGTCTTAGCTGTCTGCTCTGTGCTAAGCAGTTGAGAGAGTTGGGCAGAATTTAGGAAGAAATTCCTGCTTTTTTTCCTGCAGGGTCCCTTTGCTTCCTTACTTGTTTTGTAGTACTTCTTACCAAGAGTTACCAGCACAGCAGCAGTGCAGAAGGGAAATGCTGTGTGTTGGTGACCTGGCTGGATGCTGAAGGGCCTTGGCAACGGTGCAGGACTCTTCTGCCTGTTGTCTCTGCTTGATTTTTTTTTTGCTTGAGCTGAAATTCAGGTATTTCTTTATACAGGAGCAGCAGGATACGTTTCCTCTACAAAAGGTGTTGAAAGTGGCAGACGTGGAGAGAGAGTTTGGCAATTATCTCTTCCGTAAGCAGTGCTTTGAGGGTGCCAAAGACAGATACAAGAGGGTATGACACCAGAAGAAATGTATTTTCCACCCATGGCTTGTCAAAGTGGTGATTTGGTGCTAGCTCACTGTAACAGATACACTTCAGAGATTACAGAACTTCGTCATATATTCAGGCATAGTTCATTATTTAAGAACTGATCTGAGATGCTTGCTGTTGTATGAGCAGCAGTAGTAAATGAAAGAGGAGGACAGCTGGCAGAAATCTGCAGGCCCTTCTTTCAGGCCTGCTCCCTTCTGGCCTCCCAGCTGGGAACAAGAATACTTGGGTTTGGAAGAAGCCTCTGGATTTTGCCTAACCTGTGCTCAAGGTCAGCTGAAGCAGCAGGTTGCCCAGGACCATGTCCATCTAGGAACATCTCCAGGGATGAGACTCCACAGCCTGTGTAGGGAGTACCTTTTTACTTTGCTGCCTTCTAGTTCCTTGATGGGTTGCTGCAGTCATGCTGATAGGTGTGCAGTATACTGAAGAGTTTGATTACCTAGTTAAAAATAATAAGAGAAACATGGATGCAGCTGGCTGATTGGGATGGGTTTCTCATGGTCGATTTGTTGTGTGATAGTTCTTTTCCCTGTCTGCTCAGGCGTACTCCATCCTTGGTCGCAGCCCTTCCAGCGAGGCAGAGCTGTGTCAGATTGATGCTTCCAAGTTGCTGGTGCTCCTGAATCTCTCGATTACCTGCCTGAAGCTGGAATGTCCTGCCCGAGCTCTGATGTATGGGGAAAAAGCCTTGGAGATTGACAAAAGAAATGTCAAGGCGCTGTTCAGGTGTGGCCAGGTGGGCAAAGATAAATTCCTCTGGTAGCCACATCAAGCAGTGATGACTGGCTGTGACAGTCTGACTGGCCGTGTAATAAACTGAGGAGAGCCACTAAATTCTAGGCCAGACCTCCTAAGCTCCTGCAGCAGTTGAGGTGATTTGTCAGCATTTGAAAATCTGCTTCTCAGTAAATCTGTCACACAAATCTCCTCTCGAGGGATTCCTGAGATACCCATATCTGTCTCTGAAATGTTTGTAGTTGTACATATCTCAGTCCTGAAGAGCAGCAGCAAATCTATATTTATCTTTTAATGCATCTGTCTTCTTTCAATGGCAGGCTTGTCTCTGCATGGCAGAATACGAAAAAGCTCGGGACTTCCTGATCAGAGCTCAGCATATAGAGCCGTTTAACCACGATATTAACAACGAACTGAAAAAGCTGGCAAGGTGAGAACTCCCTTCCACTGCCGTGCTTAGACATGCTGAAAACATCCACTGGAAACTACTAAAATACTCTAGTGTTTGTTTAAAAAATTAGTAATAATCAAGAGCCAAAGGTGTTGGGAGAATGCAGAGCGTCTTTTATTGTGGGAAAGGCTGACTCAAGGCTTTGCACACAGAGTGGTTGCAGGTGATATGTGAGAAGCTGTGTTCATTTTTTCCGTAGGGTTTCTCAGAGGGAGGGTGTGATCCTCTCCATCTGAGTTAAGAGGGTCAGGCTGATGGCAGGGAGGTGGGGGGCTGCTGAGATGCCTCAAACCCAAGGAGTAGGCTAGCACTCGAGATCGTGTTCTGAATTAATACGTGATTTTCATTTCCTTTATGATGTGTCAGTTGATTACAGCACCTTTTTGCACTGCAAGTGCTTAGCTGTACAATGCTACAAATACCTTCCCATCTGTGGGAAGATGTTAAAATTGAATTTCTTGCTGCCTTGGTGGTAACAGATGAGCAATCCCAAAGGCAGACTTTCCCTTTGCCCACAGACTGAGTACAGCACAATCCTACCAGCCTTAGTCATGCCCTGCCCCCACGAAAACATGACTAACACTGGCCTCCATCCTCACACTGTTCTTTTGCTTGAAACTGGCAAAAGCAGTAGCTGGTTCCCATAAGTGTGTGCTGTACTTCTGGCACTGTTCACGGACACAGAATGTGAGGAAGTCCTCAGCTTCAGAGATTCCCAAAGCAGCCCCTGAATCGGAGCCCTCTTCTTTTGTGTTGCTCCTAGGCAATAAGGCTTGTAGGGAGCAGTAACATCTCTAATAGGAGGAGTTGATATGGCTCGAGCCAATCTGTAGGCTAAGGATCTTCACCTGGTAACATTCTGGTAGATGGCTGGGCTTGCACGTGCCCTATATATCTGAGTAGACTTTAATACCCTGTGATGAAACCAAGTCTTCAAATTTGTTCTGTTACATCAGAAATGTGGAGAGCCTGAAATTAAAATTAGCTGCTGGTCTGAAAATGTGCAGTAAAATACTTCTATTGAACCTCATTTGTCCCCAGTACCTTGCTACCAAACTGCTAGGTGAACACCTGCTTATCAGAGTTCTGGACGGCTGGGTAGATGGAGTAGTTGGAGGCTTGGTTTGTGGGTGGTGTCCAGGACCTGTGGTACAGTGCAAGAAGACCTGATCCAAAAGCCTCAAACATTCTCTTAGATTCATTCCAAGTATGTTGGCTGGTAGGAGAAAAGTCTGGCTAATCATTGAGCTTCTTCTGCCAGGAAGCAACAAGGCATTCTGCCTTCAGGGAAGCAGCAGGAAAGCTTGTCAGCTCAGAGTCTAGAGACAGCAGCAGGTACTACTAACGTGTGTTACAGTGAGCTGAGTGTGCACTGAGCATCTCTTGTCTTGGAGCTTCTGCTTTGCCAGTTAAAATTGGTCTATTTCTTGCTTTTACAATGACAAAAAATGGAATTAATATAAAATAGATGGAGCCAACAGTACAGAGTGTTGTTAGTCATGACGTAGCTCAGTCTGGATCTCTGTAGCGTTACCAAACTGCCTTGCTTGTGAAAGCCTGTGATGTGATCTGACACATGCTTCAGGAACTGCATATGAATTGAAATTCTGTTTTAAGAGCTTTTTACTTCCTTACTGAATGCACTTAAACTTTGCAAAAAGGAATGTTGTTTGTTAATCAACAGCTACCTTCAGCTGCGTGAACGGAACTTTGGCAAGTACCTGCTAACAGCTAAGCTGGGCTCTTGGCAAAGTTCACCTTCACCAGAGAGGCAGAGTCCTGGGCGAGGACCTTATGGAACTTGTCCGGTATCAGCTGCAGTGCTACAAATTCTGATGCTGCCTTTGGTGACTTTTTAGAGGACATGGTTTGTATCAAATATGAAATAACATAGAGTTGTTCTGACATCTGGCTTGAAATTGTGCCTCTGGGTGAGGAATTCTTGGATTCCTGCTTTGGTAGGCTTGTGAGCATGTGCCATCCAGTCTAGGCGCACATCACTGATCTTCTTATTGTGGGCACTTACAACAACATCTGCCTGCAGGACTTCACAGCAGAGATGTCATGAGCTCAAGTTTCACTGAATGATACCCTTCAAAGTTGTGGACACACAGGTAGTGTTCATGGGGGGCTGAGAGAGCATTAGCCAGCACCACCTTCTGCTGTTTCTGCTGTCGCAACAAAAACTTTGCTTTTGACCATATAAGGTAGCAGATGCAGTAAAGCTGTCTTTTGGGCAGCCATTGATCCCTGGGGCAGTGCTGAGCTGAGTCACCTTCTGCTCAGAGATTCCTCACCAGTGAGGCTTCGTTGCCTGCAAGGTGGAGTGTGGGGTGCAGGGATGCCGTGCTGCTTGCTGCCACTGCTGGTGCTGCCAGAAGCAGTGATTCACATGGAGTGGTCTGCATAGCTTGTGCCATGTCAATGGGATGCTGGCAGGATGCATTTGTCCTGCTGTCTACATAGTCTGGACACGCAGCCTACTGTCCCTTCCACGTCCTCTGCCTGGATTTGTGGGGTCAGTGGTAGATCACCATTAGCAGTAGTTTGCTGAACAGTGGAGCACCTGCATTGTGTCCTGCTGGGCCCTGTAATGGCTTGCATGAGGAACGGTGCAGATGATGGGCACCACAGTAGGGCTTTGAGTACAGGTGGGAGTTCTGCATCACCTTGTGCTTGCAAAGATGCTTGCAGAAAGCATCTGAGAGGTCAAATGCTCCTACTACCTAATAGATACCAGCAGAGAAGAGGCTCAGGGTCTGGTGATAAGACAAAATTCATGTCATGGCAGAAAGAAAAGGGGAGGGGGGGTGGGGAACTGCTCCCTCTTCCAGCAGCACTAGGCTAGTTGCCTTGAAAGTCTAAACATGTATGTATTTTTTTCTGACTGTGCTGCTGATGGTTTGATGGGCAGTCTGCAGCTCTCAACTCCATATTTGTGCTCTACTTTCCAGCTGCTACAGAGACTACTTGGACAAGGAGAAAAAAATGTGCTGCCGAATGCTTGCTGCTCCCAACTCTTCTTCGTGACCAGGAATAAAGGTACTCAGCTCCTGAAAAAGTTTGAGGTCTCCTAAAGCCATGCAATTCTTGGGCTGGGTTTTGTGGTGGGGAACACACTTTTCTTCTGTGTAGGAGGATTTTGGAGGCATAATACAAGTTAATGAGAACACAGAGAGGGGAAGGGGCAGGATGGCAGTGTGAAACCCAACTGTACCGTGTGCTTGGGGGATCCTTTCTGCCAGGCAGGCTAGAATGGGACGGGAACCTGAAACTGGCAGCACTTGAGTAAGTTTATTTTTTTTTCGTTTCCTGTGCTGCTCATCCCAGTTATTCCTTGTCAGAGCCAGGGGCAGAAATAGCTGTGTAGTCTTGTTTCTCTGCCAATTAAAAGAAACAAAAAAAAAAATTGTTCCTGTCAAACTTAAAAATTGGATTTCCTCCTCCCCTCCAGCACTCCTGTCTGGAGCTGTTGGAATGCCTTACTTCAGAAAAACCTAAATATTTTATTTCTGGGTTTTGCTTTTTTGATTTTTTTTTTTTTTTTTTTTTTTTTTTTTTTTTTTTTTAATATTAAAAAAACCTGTTTGTATAGAATATTTCAAATAGGTGTTTTGGACTCTTTAAAAAGCCTTAAATCCTCAAGCAAAATTGACAGGTTTATAAATGCACAAAGGCTCTTTGATCATTGGGTTTTTTCTTTTTTTTTTTTTGTCAAAACCTTTGGAGGGGGTGCAGGGGGGACTGGAAGTCTGCGCTGGTCTCTCGCCTCGGGGTGAGCCCTAGGGAGAGGGTTGTGGAAAATGACAGCAGCCTTCTGTCAGAAGGCATCAGCAGCTCGGGGCCGTCAGAGGTGGCTGCCATTCCATCTCAAACAATGCAGGCAGTATCCTTCTTCCTTCTGAAAATGAGTATGAGCAGCTTTTCCATCACTGGCAGCGCTGAGCGCAGGATGCAGCTGTGCTGTTTGAAGGTCAGCTCTTTCTCTTGTCTGTGGCTGCGAGGAAGCCACCCAGTATTTGAGGGAGAGGTCTGACCGAGCGGCTGCTTCCCAAAGCAGTGCATCCCCTCCCAGCTGGATGTGCTCCTTGCTGCAGCCCTCTCTCTCCTGCCCTCCACTCGTGGCTGCTTGTTGCGAGCTGCCTCAGAGCACAGATCATTCTGCTATGGGTTGGGGATGAGACTGTCATCTCTGCACCGCCCCAGGCTGTGCTTTGGGATGGGGGGCTATGCCTGATTTGTGCAGGAAGCCAACAGCGTGGGTTTGGCAGGGAGACTCAGAATTCTAGAGATTCTGTAGATACTTGCAGTGTGAAGGCCTGCAGGACTTGCAGAGATGGGGAAAGGCAAAAGGGAAGCTTAAAGATGAAGCCGATGTGCCCATCAGGCAGATTTTCTCCATGGCTTCTGCTGATGCAGCCCTTCCCTGGAGCTCCGCCTCCTTTCACAGCTGTGTGACAGCTGTCAGTCAGATTGCTGGCCTTTGAAATTAAGTTTAGTTGAAGCATTTTGGTTTTTTTAGTCTTCCAGACAAATTTACATCACTGAGACCTACATAACAATCCGCTGTTAATTCCTTGTGAGAAAAATCTCTTTTGCTGGAGAAAAAAAAAGTCATTACGTATTCAGAGAGGAGCACAGCAGCTCCTGCTCCAAAGGCACAGCTAACTATCCAGAACTGAGGCAGAACATTCCTTAGTGTTTTCTGACAAGTTTGCACCAGTTCATTTTAGGGCACAAGCTGTTCTCAGTCGCTCTGGCAGCCGCCTTTGATCCGTGCAGTGAGCGGATGGGCAGTGGGCTGTGCTGGGAGCTGGTGTCTGATGGTCGGTGCAAAACCTCTGTGTGCAGCGGTTGGCAGGTGGTGCTGAGTTGGTCTGGCCCCACAGCCACCTTACCAGCTACATGACTCACAGCTGGAATTGGGCATTTGCTCCCCCTGACTCCCTGCTGTGTTTTGCTGGCTCAGCTCTTCTACCCGAGGGGCTTTGCTGTTTTTTTTTCAGTGAGATTTGCAGTGGCTGCTTTGGTTCAGGGACAAATGGGTTCATTCGTCTGTGCTGGGTAATCCAGGGCTCTGCTGTGTTTTCCATAATACTGCTCAGAACCAGACACACCTGAATACAGTCACTCTGCCCAGTATTTCTGTCTCTCTCACTGTAGAGTCTATTCCTGGAATTACATCTTGCTCAGAGCACACTTTCTTCCTCTTTAGTGGAGTTTCAAGTCAGAAGAAGCATCTTTGGTGAAATGAGGCCACCTGTGATGCTTCCTAGGGGAATTCACAAATACTAAGCAGTAGAATCAGAAATATGAACACTTTCTTAAATCTTTCCTTCAGTAGTCCCCTGCAAACACAGTGTTTTGGGGTCTTATGCCTGCCCTTCTTCAGGTCTGAGCTATTTGCTTGCCTCTATCTTCTGTAGTGCAGCATAAATCAAGCCAGGTTACCTGGCATGGCTGAAAGCCCCCTTTGGAGCACCCTAAGCTGGATGGACTGAGATCACTGCCTCAGTAGATTTCTTTGTTGAGGTGGAAAACGCAGGCTTTTGGTGACAGGCTTTTAAACGCCACAAAATAATGGAACTTGTCTTTGTGCAGTTGTGGTCCTTCCAGATGAGGAGAACTTAATCATGAGATGCGGGTACGGATTTTGTGGAGATGACTACATCCTCATAGCAAGTCTATGGGAGTTTAATCCCAAAAAGACTTCTTTTAATTAAAGGTGGGCCAAGGCTGAAAGCGTGCTTCTAATGTGTATCAGAATTCCAGTAGACAGGAGAAGTGGTCTCAGTAGCTGACAGCATACGGGGAAATGTTCCAGTGAAAACAAACAATACTGAAATTATGGCAGGAAACTATGAGGTCGAACTTGAGACTGCTGCGAACAGCAGGATCTAGCAATTCTGAAGCCATTAATTGGTGAGAATTGGCTGCAGAACTGGGGCTGTGTCATCAGGTAGAAGAGACTATAATTGGACTTAAAAATCAGCAGCAGTTGCTAGTTAAACTGACCTAATAGTCTAAAAGAGACTGGCAAATAAACTGAGGCATGTGTGCATAATAGAGTCGCAGCTCGTGCCTTGGGGAGGCTCCAGACTTTGAGCAGACAGCAGCTTGCTCCTTCCCCTCCTGCTCTCCCCTATCACAGAGCTGAAGATCTAAGATGTGCCTCCTGCTGATACTGTCCTTGCCCACTGTGTGAGGCTGAACAGCAGAGAAACAGCAATTTTGCTTCTCTAGAATACACACAGTACTGTAGCACTGGGATGTCCTGTGCTGCAAAGGAAACTGTTAAGCAGTGCTTTATGCTGAGCATAGCTGGAGCTAGTGCAGAGGCTTGGAGGATGACTTCAGTGAGCATTCTCCTTGCTAAGCAGAGGGATGAGGAAAGCTTTAAAAAGGTGGTTGGGTGTTCTGGGATGCTTTGGTGGGGGTTTTGTCTGGAGGTTTTTACCCCCGTTGGGTCTTCCTTCCTGTAGCATCTTCTTCTTTTTTTAATTTCAGAGGAGTTCTGCAGTTTATATCTGCAGTAATGCTCATCTCCCAGAGAGGTACCACACTATGCTTGGGCCTCTTCTAGAGACCAGCAGTGGGGAAATGATTCCACTGGCTCCATGCACAAGGTGTGGAGGGAACAGAGGACAGGGACCAGAAGGAAACAGCTGCGTGCTCCTGTGCTCTTTGAACCCTGACAGGACAGGAGGGCTCGGTTACAGAGGTCCTTGGTGAGGGCACTTGGTGTGCTGGGTTGGTGTTGCCTGTGCTGGCAGGAAGACCTGGGCAGTGTCTTGCAGTGCCCTGCTGTGCCCATGTTCCAAGGTGAGGTGGTGAAATTCAGCCTCTACAGAACGGTGCCTCAAGCCCAGCCCAGCGCTGTCTGCCCTGAAACTTTGTGAGCATCTAAAGCCTGGTGTTTCCCTGTGTGTGCTCGACCCTGGGCCACCTGGTAAGGTAGGAAGGAACGCATGGCTGTGCTCCTCAAGCTCCTGTCTATCTGCTCTGCACACTTACTCTAGAAAGGGATGGCTGAGCCCTGCTGGATATTCCCATTCTGCACTTCTTTTTTTATTACTTTAGCCAGCAGCAGGAAGATAAAACGCACTAAATTGTCTGCTGCTGTTACAAATCAGTGGATAGTGAAAAAGGTGCTGGGTTCTTTTCATCATATTTATCATGGAGTTAAAGTTCGAAGAGAATGGACAATGTGTAGGATGTGAATGTCTTTACACAGGAAATTTTATTTTTGCAGAATCTTCAGAGTTAGTGCCCTTCAATTCCAGCAGCAAGGAGATGGAGGAGCTTAAAATAACTGCATCTATGAAACATGACTTTTAAAGTCTCCTTTCTCTACCTCTCATGTTTCAGTTGTACAAAGCACGAGTAAAAACGTCTTGTTACCGTGGCGAGTATAAAGGCAAATAGGATAAACCTACCTAAAGCAATTAGCAACCGAAGAAACAGATTTTGGATGGCAGCCTGCTGCAGGTGCCAGTGACTCGTGCCTGAGGTCAGATTACTGCTTAATTGTGCTGTTGTTGAGGCACAGAAGCCCCCAGTGCCACTTAGTCCTTGTAGCAGCTCTCCCTGGGCTCTTGCCATCCCATACAGGCACAGCTGGCATGCCTGGCTACCAGCCCTGCTGATCTGGAGCACTTCAGACACATCTTTATCCTATCTGTTTCTTTTAATCTTACATCTGGGGATTTAAATGTGTCATGCGCAGCCTTAGACAGCAAAACAAAGGATCCTTTTCCATATTCTCTTGTGTGCTGTTCTTCTAGTCTGGTTTCTTGGAGAAGCATTTGGGTGTGGAGATCTGAGCTCAGAGGATGCTTTTCACTCCTTTTGTAGTTCAGTGGTAAGTTATCCTGAGCAGAAACACAAAGGGGCTTAATCCTCTGCGTGGCTGTGCTGCTGTACCCACATGTGCTGCCTGCACCAGGGCAGGTTGCTGTCACTGGTGTCCCACTGTCTCAGGACTGGTGGGGCTCACAGTGCAGCAGAGGGTAATTCCAATACAAGAGAAGGGGGAAAAAAGC